AGGCCCTCTTCAGCCTGCTTTCAGGAATCGTGGGAATGGGTGGGTGGTGGTTCGGGTGAGAAAGATGAGACGGACGAAATGAAGACAGAAGAGAGTGAAAGATTATCTGTGGAATATTACTGCCTCAGCATTTGCCTAAATGATCCAAGAAAACCACAGAAAAACTTGGACCAAGGCAGATGGACCCGGAATCGAACCGGCGTCCTCCCGAATGCTAAGCGTGAATAGTATGTTGCCTACTGAGTTCATGAAATGACGTCTTTTACTGCCGAATACATGAAATCAACAATTTCACAAATTAGACGCATCATGTACACATTTAATAAATTGCAGGCAGTGAAATACAATATAAAAAACAGCAGCTTAATATGTTTATGTTGTAACAACAATTGCCTTCATTACATGCGGCCTGCTTTTGAATATTGTGATCATCGTTTAATATCAGACACGCGTAGATAATATAATCATGCGTCTGTTCAATTTATTACGTTGGTCACCAAACGATACAAGACAACATTAATCACGCTTTTACTGAATAAAATTTCAAATGTATGCTTTTAAGTGAACCTTTGTGTGATCGATCATTAGGAACCGTCCGTCCTGGAACCACAATGACCCACGACGTCCTGTTTTTTCCTTTTCTTAATCTCCTTAATGAATATTTATGACTGGTTATGAATTGTTTTTATATCCAACATTCCATAACAATATAGGGTGCATAGGTACCATCTACATACACGTATATATAAGATATGTTTCCTGAATATTATATTTTTCTGGGATTCACCGACAATAGCATCTATCTCAATGTGTGATAAAACGGTATTACCGGAGTAAAAGCATTATGAAAGCACATAATGAAAGATAATACGAAGCATCCCTCTCCGTCAGAATAACATTGTATTCACCCTCTTTCGGCCCATGTTACACAATAACAGTCTACACTAGATGCGTAAAAAAATAATTTATCTTCTCTACGCCTACATATAACATATAATAAATTTTGCAGACAGAAATATTTCTAGGCCAACTAAAATTTATGTACAGAATGAAATAAAACAATCTGCTTCTTTCCTTGTACGATTTACTGGTTAGATCGTCCAAATTTGGACGAATCCGTACAACTGCCGATAGGACACAAATACCGTAACCCAACTTAAGTCTTTGTTCAAAACGTAAACTCTTTGGGTTTAGAATACACATCAAAAGTCGATGCTTTAGTTAGTTCCATCCGTTAATTAGACTCTTTAATGGTTAGATAATTGTAGAATATCAAACCTAAGTCCGCCACTGTCGTAAATATATACATAATTATAATTATGCGTATACTGACAAAACAAATACGTAAATAGCTGTGTAATTCTAACGCGTGTAAATTTATAAGTAGGTAGACACGCCATCTTTTTTTTTTTATTAATGAGTATAGTTCCAGTTCCTATATTCGCAGTTAAAATTTCCTTATTCACAACTGCAATCGGCAAACAGAAAAGGATGCGGTGTCATTTATTAATAAGATTGATCGCAATAGACCGCTCATACCTAGTGTAAATTTTTCCGAAAACATGGGTTTCTATTCTAAACGTTGTGTTTTAACGCTGCGAGATAAATATCTGATTTTTTGTATGGTAACAGAAGAAGGTTCACACTAACTCGGTACGTTTTTGGTTATCAATAATACGGTCATTAAAAGCTTTTACAAGTGCTTAAAGTTGATGCTTCTTATGGGACACGTATTTTCAATAGAAATTAAAAAATTAAAAAATGGCCTTCGATAGGCTTTAGAAAAGAGCTTTATCTATGTTATTACAAAATTTCAAACCTCTGCTCCAAACATTAAAATCATAATATCTAGAACCGATAAGCATGTTTTTACTCTACGGCGCATGTACTACTGAATCCCCTTAATGTATCGGCATCTTTTGACTATGTACTGTTGGTACGAGCCGAGGCAGCTTTTATAAAAGATATAACTGAGTGGATTAATTTTAAAATTCAAAACAAGAAAAAAACACTAAATTATTTAAACCCTTGCCTAATGCTGATAATAACGATTAACTATAATTGCTAATTTCTTAATAAATTGATTTTAATTTGATACTTATTGGTTTTACTTTGGAACCTTAGAATGTATCCCTTATGGTTTCATACTAATTACCATTCCACATCCACGGATTCTGTATTCGCGGTATATTTATGGAACGTATACCAAGAGAATAAAGAGCTTTTACTGTATAATTTTCTTAATTTCCCCAGAACTTGGAAACCTTTTGAAGTCGTTTATTCGTAATAATAAAATGAAAAAGAAAAAAGAAAAAGAAAATCAGGCAATTCTAAAGGCTTAATTTTGCAAGAACGATTACATTCTCATCTTGTCCTGATTTCCACTAGAAATCTGCGTATTTTTATTCCCCCGAAGGATAATAGCCGAAAGATGCCCTTGTCTCGCCGCAGGCACGTATCGTGGGGCGTTTGGCGACAAACAGCAATTTCGTACTTGGATGGAATAACAACAACCCCTGATTACATTTGGGGTGGCTCACTTCGACATAATGTACACAGCTACATTGTATCGATGGCTCAATAGCATTACCAAAACAAATGGGAAAATTATTATGCTATTCATTACAATATTATTATTCTCTATGGATAGATAGGTACGTATGTAGATGCCTAAATTCCTCTACATGAAGATTTTATGTGGTCAAAATACATATACACTATGGCCATTAAATGAAGCAATGGCTAAAAGAAACAAAGATATACTTCGTTTAGTTTCTGTAGCGATGTGACGTTCGGTTTGACCGGCGCAAAGTAGAAAAGAACAGCACTAGGCCAGAAAAGGAAGGAGACAACTCTCAGCCAAACTCTTAACCGGTGAGGAGCGTATAATCCGTACAGTACTGCACGGAAAATTGACCATTTTATCCACTACAATTGCATTGCTCAAATGTGCTGTTATTGGTACCATTTACTACTGAAAATATTAACGAGATGTTTATTTATATTTGAAGACATATTAAAGGCTTTAACGCTTGTTTTCTACTCGCACTACTATTCATGATTGAACAAAACTTTTAGCAGGTACTGTATGAAAAAATATGTTTAATGAACAAGAGTCGAGAGTATAATGAGCTTTTTTCTCCCTACCTACGATTTTGCCAGCGCGCGTCCAAGACATTGGAAGGGGCACATCGCTACAGAAAGTAAATGAAGTATAACATACAAGACTGCGGTACTCCAAAGATCAGGCATACCTTAAGGGTCAAATGGAACTGTAGAACCATTCTCCTTTTTGTTTTTTTTTTTTGTACTTACGTAAACATCTGAATATCAAAAGGAAATAGAAAGGTAGGTACTGGAGTTCTTTAATAAGCTTTGAAAATTCTACTTGAAAAATGGAAGAAGTTCATGTGCAATTACTTACCGTAATCTTTTGTAGTACGGATCGTAGCCGGCGGGATATCGGCGCACGATATCTTGCAGATTTTCGTCTGAGGGAACTTTCTGTCGAACGCAGACCGTGAGCAGCGACGTCCTGTTGGAACAGGGAGACGCCTGCTGCATCGAAAGGCAGCTAAAAAGACTCCTGCGATCCTGCTCCAGAGCTCCAAGTCCTCGATCAGAGATGCAATATTGTTCGAGAATATCCTGCAAAAAACAAACCGAAACTGTTAGCAGAAAGGCATACCTACATATGCAATTCCCGGCAGGCATCAGAAGTTTCCTCAAAATATAATAATGTAAAGTATTGCCCTGGGAGTGCAATCATTCACAAAAGCGCATAGGAAAATGAAAAGCTTTCCGTTTTGTTATTTTTTTTACGTTATCTTTTGCGTTGCTTGTTGCTTATTAATTTTTGCCATTATAGATAACCTCAAATTAGTGAGAAAAAAATGTTTCTGCTGCCACGCCCTCGCCGGGAATTGAACCCGGTATCCTGGCCTAACGCACTATTGCTCTAAGTACTACTAATTTAAAAAAGTTGACAGCAGCAGCAACGACGACACATACCTGACTATATACTTACGTCACATTAATTTGAGGTTATCTGTAATGGTAAAAATAAATTCAAAAATTAATTCCGTTTAATGTATTAAATATACAGAGTATTTACTAAACATATGGCAAAAATTCCGTGGATGATTCCTGAGGTATTTTGATAAAGAAAAGTTCCTAAAACGTTTGTCGAAAAATTCCTCCTAAAGGAGCTGCACTCTTTCAAATGGATTAGCCCTAACGCTATTAAATTTCTTATGAAGGAGAATTAGACTAAATAAATCAATTAAGTTATTTACTAGAACTTAGAGTAGTTATTATTTATCTTGGAATTAGATGATTGCTACTCAAGATTATTCTCTTTCGTTTCTCTTCTTCCCGGATCTTGTTAAACATGAGGTCGTGTTCGGCATTTGATTTAAGTTACTTAATTTTAAGCAAAAAGTCATTAGCGGAAGCGTTGAAAACGATTAAAAACTTTTGATGAGAAGAAAACGTTTTCATCTACAAACATATTGTAATAATATTATCCATTTCTTTCCCTTAATTTGGATATAAATAGGCAAAGAATCTAGGCAGTTAAGGGTTGGAATGTATATATTTGTGTGAACGACTAACACCGACGTTTCGCCTCTACTTGGGGGACTTTATCAAGCTAGGCTTATCTAAACCTATAGATCCTGCAGCTTAATGTTAGAGGAAAACCACAGAAAATTTTGGACCAGATGGACGGGCCGGAATTGAATCGGTTTCCTCTCGAATGCTAAGAAATTTCCACATATAAGTGACGCCATTCAGTGTGGAAATCAATCAACTAGCGGAGTTTCGTCACTGCGCAACTCAAGGTCAAAATCCATGATATTCTGGCCTATCTCTATGCATAAAATCAAGTGCAATCCAAGTCTATACAACCGAGCGGCGTGGCCTAGAGGTTTACACAATTGCTTAGCATTCGGGAGGACGCCGGTTCTATTCCGGGTCCGTCTGCCTTGGTTCAAGTTTTTCTGTGGTTTCCTTGGATCATTTAGGCAAATGTTGGGGCAGTAATATTCCACAGATAATATTTCACTCTCTTCTGTCTTCATTTCGTCCGTCTCATCTTTCTCACCCGAACCACCACCCATCCATTCCCACGATTCCTGAAAGCAGACTGAAGAGGGCCTTCCGCCCTACCTTCCGGCATAGTCCGGAGGGACTGCCCGCCCACCAGCATTACTGGCTGGTGGGAATGAAACACCCAAAAGTTTTTTTTTTAAGTATATACTAATTTACTATACCAGTGTAGTACTGCTGCAGATATGTAACAAAGTTGTTCAGGAATTTATATCAATTTGCAATTCTCAATCAGGTTAGGTTTATCTAACTAAAAAATCAACCTTGGTGAAACCTCCTAATTAGAGATGAAATGATGGTGATGGTTCTACACACAAATATTATCCTTCCAACCCTTAACTGTCTAGACACTTTGCTTATTATAAAAATAGTGAGACGCTCTAAAGTGCATTCCAGGGAACCCCTACGTTAAGTGAGTCACTATCGGGATTCCGAAAATTAGTTAGGTAACATTTGTCAATTAAATCGTTCAATTATTTCGGCTTTTCTACAATTTTACTGTTGAAAATATTACTTTAGAATAGTGTAACAATAGTGTAAAAAACGTAAGGGGAATACCCCATTACTGTAGTCAATAATTTAACCTCATACAAGAAACGTGTGCGATGAGATGCAATGTTCTTTAATTCTTATTAGTTGATGTAGAGTTTCATACAGTAAAAGGGATTTTTTAAATGTGCCGTAGCTTTAAAAATTTAAAAACCCACTGCTCTAAAGTATTACAGATGAACAATCAGAAACGTGACACTGAATATTCGATGACTCTGAATTGTTTGTAACTTGTGCAAATTATGTTGAGTAGACAGCACTCCAATCAATATGGTAACATAAACAGAGTGAATCAATATCGTGGATAAATTAGGGGAAGAAAAAAAAATATTCAAAAAAGAGCTTGTATAAAGTAACAGTTTTCACATTCCAAAAATGTTTTCTTACAGAGAGAATGCTCAGTTGTACTCGGCAGCTTTTGAAAAAAAGTATCAAATGGTGAACTTTTAGATTTACGTTGATCAAACCTTTGAGAAAAGAATCAAGGAGCATAAGAAATCTTTTGAAAATAAAAAATTAGATTCGAATCACGCAAAAGATCATAATGATGAAAACCATAATTTTAATGAATACTTTGAAATTCTACATCTAGAAACTAAAAGCTATCGACTCTACATAGTACAAAGTTGTATATAAGTTCGTATTGTTAATATAGTTTTAAGTAATACATACTTCTGAAGAAGCCTGAAGGAGGCGAAACAATTGTAAAGTTAATTAATTATTAATTTCAGTTTATTTATTAGGTAATTATGAATTTCCATCAAGAAAACGAACGAAAACCATCAATCATAATATTTTTTTCTTAGAACTCGACGAATTTTTAAAAACTCTGTAATCAATACTTTTCAAGTTAATTTTTGACAACTCTACAAAGTTTTTAAACATACGTTGAACCCTGCTTTGAATATATCTGATAAACATAATACTTAAATCAAGCTGAAAACATTTAAAGGACAAATCCGAATACAGCCTATTTTTCGTTCATAATTCACTTGTAAAAAAGCGGACTTGATAATCATGGTCTAAGATTGTTTCTCCTCCTATGACAAGAACACCGATGAAGTCGATTATCTGACGTTTCGCCACCAGCTATGTATGGCATCCTCAGGGAATGCATCGAGGACAGTTATACAGAAACTGAATGTCGTTACAAAGAGAACTCTTGGACAAACAATGCCATACCACAGTCACTATTCTATAGTAATTACAATTAAACCTTTGTAAAGTAATTTTTTACATGCATATTACGGACGAAAAAAAAGGCCTTTACCAGACTTATCACTTCGGTGGAAAACAGTACAAAACTTTAAGCTATACGTCCACTGAAAATTATTTAAATTGCTAAATATTCCCTAACTTTGTACTTCCTACGTATGCAGACCTAATTAATAAGCATTAAATACCTCGGAACCTAAATGCGTGTAGCATTCATCAAACAATTTGCAAAATTGTTGATTAGCTGTTTGAATTTATGGATTTATGTAAACGTTACAAACTTCTGCAAACTAACTTGTGTTCCTTCAGGCCATAAAATTTAAACGCCGTGTTTCTACATGCTCCCAAATATTGGTCGAGTAAACTCGAAGGTGAAATCCGCAATAATAGTAGAAACAATTCAAAACTATGAACTAACCAAAAAAGAAACCATGTTTTTTAACCTCTGGTAACTATTGCACCAAATTACTGATAAACTATCTGCTTGCCGCGTAATTTTTGAAAAGAGAAATGCATTTAGGTGATATAGGTAATTCAAAATCTCATGAGCCTTCACATACTTGCAGGAAGTGATAGTGCACTGAGAAATAAAAATTAAATTCCTAAATGTTTCATAGTCTAAAAGTTGACAAAGTATTTAAAAGTACAGGCGAAGACATTGGCAGTAAATCAGTGTATCAGTGACATAGGTCAGTGCAGAATAGTATTATTGTATTAACGAGTGCATACGTTTCTAGGCGAACAGTTTCTTAGACGCTATTAATACCCATTAAACCTACTTATTTTACAAACACCGAATAAAATTATTACACAATGTTCGTATTATATCTTTTTTATACAAACATAGTGTACGTAATACTAACCTGTTTACTATAGGACGGTGTACCTCGCCTACCTCTTCCAAAAAGCCTGCTAAGAGCTTCATCTTCAGATTCATAAGAAACGGCTGTGTGTTGAATATCAGCCTATAAAAACAAATAACTTTTAATATTTCTTATTAACTATTTATCATAGTAATTAAACGAAAATTCTTATAATAAGTTTTTCATTAACCCTTCCACATATTTATTTGTTCAAATAAGTACGCCATACTGCAAACCAATCAACACTCAAATTATAACACAATTTTTCCTGACTCATAAACGCGAGATACCGGAAGTGCTATTCGGAATAACAAGATGGCGGATGATTACAGTAAACAACTTAAAGCTATTAAATTGCATATACTATCGCGATACCATGGTATATTCACTACCTACACATTATAACATAAAGTCAAATGATAATCACAATTGACAAGTTTTTTTAAAACGCCTAGGAATTATATTCACTTTAATATTCAAAAGAGACTTATCTACCAAAGGCTTCAAATATAAATTGGTGACTGTGAAATGCCTTAAACAAGAGAAAAGTATTATTAAGCATAGGAAAGAAGTACGAGTGTATGTGTCTGACATTTTCTAATATGGCTAGGCAACTAAAGATGCAAGTAACATTTAACAGAACATATTTAGGAGAAATAAATGGTTATGTAGCTCATAAATTATGTGTTGTAGATACCTCTAAGCGAATTAGTTAAAAGCGTTTTAATGATTTAGTGCCAAATTTCAATATTTAAAGTTAAAAGTTACCTTAGGGGAGACCAAGGTAAACCGAACCATTACTCAAACGAGAATTAAGCACTGAACCTTCGAATTTAGTTCAGTAAGTCATATCGAGGTAAGGTTTTGTGCATTCGATGCGTGAGACCGTCTATAAACTTTGTGAACATAAGATATCAATTCATCTTTGCAACTCTGTCAATAATAACAGAAATAAATCCAATTTTTTTAGGAATATGTAGTAGGCGACGGGTCTTCTAGATACTTTGGGCCCGATGATCAATGATTTAATAAATGAAATTAATTAAATTATTTCTAAAGATAATACTTCAAATTATCATCATCATCATAAGGTCGTCAGTCCTTTGACAACCTTTTTCAAATTTCTGTATTAACCGTTCGCCAGCATAGTAGTGATTTCTTTTTATTGCAAGCGACTCGACCCTGCCCTATCCTCTGCTTTATATCCTTACTATTCCTTCCGTCCTGACTTATCTGACTTCCTAGATACCTAAAATCGGCCACTTCTTCTAATTTTTCGTCTCCTATCTTTTACATTCGCTCTTTCCCTACTTTTTCTTCCCTCGCATACCAGTATTTTTGTTTTACTTTTATTTATTTTCATACAGTACTGTAGACGACGTGTATGACGGTCGCCCTAGATCCTAGGCACCTCGGAGGTCGTCACCGACTGCATATTCGTGTCCAGCGACCATCGGAACCCCCCGAGTAACAAAATCGGACTTATTTCTATCATTATTGACCGAGTTGCAAATTCTTTTTTTATAAAAACTGCGTTTCTCTTATGCGCCGTTGAATTTTTTTTGAAATAATCAAACAGTGCTTGGGCATGGTAAAGTTTTTTGTTTAAACAAATTTATCTGTGCAATATTTTGCATTTTGTTAATCACAGGTAAAATGGACTTTATGTATTACTAAATTGATCTTTTATAAATGATTACTGTCAAAAAGTAAAAAATTTAGAATAATATTTGTTTTAACTTACCAAAAGTAAAAGCACCTGTAATCAACTTCGTTGCAAGTTACAGCACATCCTGCGTTGCACAAGAATCGCGTAGGTGCAAATGTATAAATAGAATAAGTAGATATAAAATGACTGTGCAACTTCTACGCATATTCTGCACGCAGCCCCTTCTCTCATGGAGTACACATAAGTCATGTTCCCAGACCAATTACAATTTGCCCCGAACTATATGAATAATAATACAGTACTTACATATTATAACAGATATAACCACAATTATACAGGCCTGACGCTGGAAGCTGGCGGAAATTTTAAAATGGCGTGGATGCGCGGTGGCAAAAGTAGGCAGTTTTAGGTTTAAAGATTGCAGCCCTCATTCTTCAGTATTCCTATCAGAAGCGTAGATTAAATATTTAAAAGCAGGGATCAGTGAGTAAGTAACAGACATACAAACAGAAGAACTAATGGTTGATGTTGATGACAGTGATAGAGATTCCGATGATGACAGTGAAAGTGAAAATTAACTATAAAACAAAAGCAATAGGTTAATTTTTTCTTTTTGATAAGTCATGTTTTTACATTATTTTCTAGTACGCTACTGTCCCACCTGTATTAATAGTATAATTTACGCCTACTGAAAGCTTATTTGTGTATCGGTTCCAAGTGACTTACCCAAATAGGTCATACCTGCGCGACCGCTCGCCAACTTCCTTCGTCAGACCTGTACTTTCTTTGATCATTTTCGTGATTGTTAATTAATTCGGTAAAATAAAACTTATTGTAAAAACTTTACGAGAAGTACCTACATGTACACATTTACATATGTAAAAAAAATTGATTAGAGAGCATCAAAATATTTCCTTTTTTTCTCAAGAACAGGGAATTTCCCGTTTCCAACATTTTTATCGTCACTATGATATTAGACTTTACCAAATGTAAATAAACTAAAACTTCAAGTATTACGTAACGCAGTTAGGGGGTGTGGGGGACTTGTAAAACGCTACGGTGCGTTACAAGGAGGGAGGGGAGAAGGTGGGGGGGGGCAGCAACGTGTTACGTAACATCATGTTTTTATTAAATAAAATAAGATAACAATGATTTTGCAGGACATAACTGACTATTTTATGTAAATATTATCATTAGCATGTTACGTAACGCTTAAAGGGTAAAGGGATTGAGTAAAACGCCACAGGTCATGGAGAGGGGGGAAGGATTAAGTATCTTTAAAAACCACGTTACGTATTACCTTATTTAAATTTAATGTAGCCCGAATTTCTCCTCTGCATTGCACTACTTGTGAAACATCCCGTAGGAGCAAGTCCATATGTATATTTTTCCTACAAATGTTTTTTTTATTGTTACTGCCTTATTCAAATCGTCATTTCTATTCGTTCAAAATAGCGTAACGGTGTTTCCTTTTAAGTCTGTTTTTATATTCGAAACATTGAAATGTACGATCGGCTTGCGAAAAATAAAAGAGAGAAATCTGAAAAGAATGATGTGGACCAGAATTGATTTTCCGTTATTCTGCTGAAGTAAATATTTTTTCGTTTAGTCATTTTTTGGGTTGATTTCCCGTGCTCTCTTTCTTCTTGCTTGTCTTAAAACCCGTCCGGTTTGAACTTTATCATGCACTCTTACAATGAAAAATGTCAGTTACAATTTAACTCAAACGACCCAACTTTTTGAATAAATAATGAGTTACTGACAGGCCAAAAAGAGCTCCAAGTAAACGAATTTAATATATCTCATGCCAACTTTCCAAACTAACTCGACAACTAAATTTTTTCGCACTATACGAGGTAAAATTTTACAAAATGCACCATCAGGTTCGGCTTTTGGAGAAAGAAAAAGTTAATCCTATAAAAACGTGTCAAAAGGAATTAAATAAGTTACATCTTCTAACTAAGGGAACTGCAGGTACCCTTTTGTACGCAAAACTCATTAAACGGTCATTATAATTTGAGTTAGTGAGCAGTATGAAGTGTGACATCTCCAAACCTCTGGGTAAGGACTTCCCATTAAACGTTCTTGTCATTATTCTGTGTTATATCTACTCCTTGTGAAATCAATAGAAGTTATGAAAACGAGATTTCTCTCTTTACCTCCTTTTAGAGCAAAAATCTATCAACCGCATTTTTAGCGATTCGGTACACCGGAATCACCACTGAACGCTAGTAGAGATAGTACCGAGTCTCATGGGTCATGACCATAGACTACACAGTGAAAAAACCTGGTCTGTTCATCGATTTCTACTTCTCATAAAAAACATTGGACGTCTTACCGTTGAATTAATGTTTTTGAAGTGAAAATATAAATACAGTAACCTCCAATCCCCGCGTATTTTGAGGACCAGAATGGTTTAAAATGCCTCTAACTGTTACGGATGGGCAATTATTAAATTTAACATCAATTATATTAGCGATTGTAAGAAAATAATCAACAGTCCCAATTAATTGATTAATTCAAAAAACTAATTCGTAATCGGTGATTTTTAGAATCTCAAAATAATTAATTATTCCATTATTAATCTATTATGGTTACAGGTGTTCGAAATGTGGTGTTACAGGTGAATGATGAGGATACCGTGGATAGAAAAGGTTAGAAATAAAGAGGTATTAAAAAGAATAGGAAAACAGAGGACTCTATGGAAGTCAATAAAATATAGGCGATATAGGATGGTAGGACACCTTCTTAGGCTTGAAGGTCTAGACAGAAACATATTAGAGGCAGAAACAGGAGTTAAGAGGAGAAGAAGTAGACCTAGATTAGATTGCTGTTCTCAAATAGTTAAGGATGCATGTTGTTCCAAATGCGAAGATTAGCTGAAGATAGGAAAGAGTGGAGGTACGTGTCCAACCAGTCTTAGGACTGACGACTTAATGATGATGATGAATTTATTATTAGTTAATCTATTATTATTAATCAATTAATCGTAATTAATTTGCTCATACCTAGTAGCTGTCTAAATATTCTGTTGAATGCCCAATTTGTGAAATTACCGATTTCAGTCACGTATTCTTTTTTTGACCGTCCAACACTATTTTTGTTTAAACTCTATACTATCCTTTAACCCTCGTTGTTGTTTTTTTAATCCTTTTCGTGGAAGAAATTGAATTTATTTACCATTTCATATTTTATTTCTTACTATAATATTACTTGATGATGTTTTCGTCAAAGCATAAATGGTTTCAAATTTAATCATGTCAATTTGGGAGATACTAGATTCTACCACCAAGAATCTTGAAGTCCCGAAAATCTTTTTAGATCAACCGCTGTTATTGTCCATTCATTTAGAGAAAGGTACAGCGTAGGCAATGCGTGCAAGCGAATATCAATTGTAGGCGGATCCCCGGATTATGGTCGGTTGTTCACCGTCAGAAATTTTCGATCAAATCAAATCGTAAGCTTCTAGTACCTTCTATAACCTCTAACATTACAACATATTTCGCACACGGATGTGGCATCGTGTACCTTTCTCTAAGTGAACGGACTATTTTCCAAGTTTTAGGTAATTATAAATAGAGAGAGGACTTACAAAACTAGTCATTCTTCGATTAAAAACCAATTTTTATATTTACCTGTGTTGAGACATCATAATGATCAATTACTACTCTGGAATTGCCTAGGTACCCTGAAACAGAAAAAAAGAAAAACGGTATAAGTAAGTGTAGGTGTCGATTTTATTTTCGTTTTGTTGCGAATGGGATAAAAAAGATATTCCCATTTGTGTACATTTGCACTGTTATTGCCGATAAGGCATTTGCAAGAAAGCCCGTGGAAACTTATCTTAAGCCATAAAAGCGGCTTCTTACAAAAGTTTTATGTCTGAAGAGGCAGCCGTCGTAACTCGATGCGAAACAATTCATGTGACAAATTGGCCTATTGTCAGACTAAGCGAAATAAAAAGTTAACAGGGCGTCGTAAAATCGTATTTTCTGTGATTTTTCCCCCTTGAATAACTGAACGTGGAATTTTTGATATATTTCTAAAATTTATCCGTTTTCTTTTTTATATTGTTCGTTAGGGACCGTCCACGAACCACCCTTGTCCTAAAAAAGGAAAGGGGGTTCATTAATATGTAAAGGATCTGGCAAAGCTGGGAAAAGGTTTGGTGATGTCCAAAAAATAAAATAACATTGCTCACAAGAAGTAATGAATATTTATTATTAAGTTTCACATGTGTTATGGACAGGTTGTGTTGGACAGGATAGCAAATCATATGTTTTACTGTTGTTGTTCGAAATGTGGTGTTATAGGCGAATGATGAGGATAGAAAAAGTTAGAAATGATAAGGGATTAGATAGAATAGGAGAACAGAGAATTCTATGAAAGTCAATAAAAAATAGGCGAGATGGGTTGATAGGACTCCTTTTCAAGCATGAAGGTCTAGTCAGAGACATGTTAGAGGCAGAAACAACAGTTAAGAGGAGTAGAGGTAGACCTAGATTAGATCACTGTTCGCAAATAGTTAAGGATGTGGATTGTTCTAGTTTTAGGGAAATGCGAAGATTNGAATCAGTCTATAGAGATGGCATTAATAGACTGGAACACCGCTATGAGAGAACATCATTGGGAGAAGGAGACCATGTTGAGAAATAAAAAAAAAAAATTTTTAAAAACCTTGTTTTTCTTGGTCAGGCCGGAAACTTATCAATCCACCCTCGTATCTCGTTGAGGTTCTGCATACGCTTTAAGCTGGGATGGCGGGAAGGACTAGCATGTAAAAAAATTGTTTTTTAATTATCTTGGCTTTAATTGAAGCTAAGACAAATACGACGAGATCAGTTTATAGTGAACTACAACTTTTGAGTATGAGCTGAGACAAACATTCTCACAACAATTTTTTTTTTGATAAAATAGATCATTTGGAGGCAGAAACAACAGTTAAGAGGAGTAGAGGTAGACCTAGATTAGATCACTGTTCGCAAATAGTTAAGGATGTGGATTGTTCTAGTTTTAGGGAAATGCGAAGATTAGCTCAGGATAGGAAAAAGTGGAGGTACGTGTCCAACCAGTCTTAATACTGACGACCTTATGATGATGATGATAAGGCTTTTGAGGCAACATTGATCTAGTGATTGATATCTAGCTTCGAACACCGATATTCACCAAAAAGGACAAACGCCCCAAGATGGGACGCTACACTTTAAAAAGAAAAATCGCCATTTCATTCATGAATCTGTCAGAATAACCAAAAGTTCTAAAAGCGGCCCTGTAAAGCAGTACCTCATCCAGGTTGATTAAAAATAAAGATCTCGTAAAACGATAAAAACCAAGCGAGTGAGAACATAATTTATTCTTGGCTTGTATTTGTCATTGTTTAGCTGTTCTCTTTCATTTTCGTTGATTGCACGCTTGTTTCGAGAAGTGCCGAGACCATTAGTCTTTTTCCCTGGTGCCGCTTTGCCACACTATCGCTCAAACGTATCGCCCGCGATGTAAGTTAACACCTCTACTGTTAAATTCACCGTCTTTTGGTAAATATTCGTGGATTTGATTTGAACGAAACATTTACTTGATTAATAAAAGGTCTGATTTCTCAACACCAAGGTGGTCAATTTTTTTCGTGTTGGTACATCGTTTTCATTTTTCCCTGTGGGTCATTATATGTACACATCTCTGTTATTATTTCAGAAACTTTTACTATCTATATGTTATAACATTTAAATTTTTAAATTCCAGCGAATTCAGTTTTAACCCGATTCTTCAGGATTTGAACGATAACCACTCCAGGCAACAGCGTGTTTTCTCTCTTGGCATTTTGACAATATCATGTACGAGGGTGGATTGATAAGTTTCCGGCCTAACCAAGAGATGACGCCACTAGGCCTACCTTGAGGTGACATTCTATAGTACCATCCTTGGATAGCTTGTAGCTATAGTTTCAGCCCGATCTCCTTGCTAGTGTAGGTTTGACAGCACGCTGAACAAGACGCCTCTGTGGTTTTCGTAAAAATGGAAAAGCAGGAAAATCGTGCTGTCATCAAATACTTTTATTTGAAGGGGTTAACGCCGAAGGAAATTAAAAAAGAGATGGACTCAACACTGGGGACATCCTCCCCGTCATATTCAACCGTTAAGCAGTGGGTTTCCGAGTTTAAAAAGGGTCGTGTGAGCACCTCTGATGGGCCTCGCTCAGGACGCCCCGTTGAGGTCACAACTCCAGATATGATCGAAAAAATTCATCAAATAGTGCTGGGAGACCGCAGATTGAAAGTGCGTGAGATAGCTGAGACCTGTAAGATGTCATATGAACGTGTGCAACATATTTTGCACCAACATTTGCATATGGAAAAGCTCTGTGCAAGATGGGTGCCGCGTTTGCTAACAGTCGACCAAAAATTGATTCGAAAAAACATTTCTACCGCAAATTTGTCATTGTATAAGCGTAATCCAAGCGAATTTTTGCGTCGATTCGTAACCGTTGACGAAACGTGGGTCCACCACTACACTCCTGAAACCAAAGAACAGTCTAAACAGTGGATTGGACCAGGGGAACCAACTCCAAAGAAGGCAAAAACAATTTTTTCGGCGAACAAGGTTATGGCTACTGTTTTTTGGGATGCAAGAGGTATTATATACATTGATTACCTTGCAAAGGGTAATACTATCACTGGTCAATACTACGCAGACTTATTGCAACGTTTGAGCCACGAGGTGAAAATTAAACGACCTCATCTGGCGAAGAAAAAAATCTTGTTTCATCACGATAACGCACCAGCGCACACGTCAATCGTTGCGACGGCTAAAATCAACGATCTAAAGTTTGAATTGATGCCGCACCCTCCTTACTCTCCAGACCTAGCCCCGAGTGACTATTTTCTGTTCCCTAATCTCAAAAAATGGCTTGGCGGTAAGAGATTTGCGGACAATGAAGAAGTAATCGAAGCTGTAAATGGTTATTTTGAGGAGCTTGACGAATCAGTCTATAGAGATGGCATTAATAGACTGGAACACCGCTATGAGAAATGTATCAGCCTTGGAGGAGATTATGTTGAGAAATAAAAAAAAAAAATTTTTAAAAACCTTGTTTTTCTTGGTCAGGCCGGAAACTTATCAATCCACCCTCGTATCTCGTTGAGGTTCTGCATACGCTTTAAGCTGGGATGGCGGGAAGGACTAGCATGTAAAAAAATTGTTTTTTAATTATCTTGGCTTTAATTGAAGCTAAGACAAATACGACGAGATCAGTCTAGAGTGAACTACAACTTTCGAGAATGAGCTGAGACAAACATTCTCACAACAATTTTTTTTTTGATAAAATAGATCATTTGCAACTTGCTTTTACTATTTGACCCGTACATACTTCTTTTTCTTCTTATTTCTGCTCTTAAAGTAGTTCATCTGGAGTGGAGCCTCCTTGTGCATAGATGCCAGAATATTCTGTTCTGGGTTGTCACTGAAGAATGTTTCTATACGTTTAAATGATCATCACGATAAGACTGTCAATCCTAGGACTGCTTGGACACGCACCTTCACTCTTTCCTATCCTCAGCTAATCTTCGTATTTCCCAAAAACTAGAACATCCCACATCCTTAAGGACCTTTAAATATCTATCGATAATATTGCCAACACGTGACTGTTTGTGTGCATCTTCCTCTAGATTGTATCTCTTCTGTTTCACGAAGCACTTGGCAATATGGCGCATTACATGACCGTACCAGTAAAGTCTAATTCCGCTGAGCCTGCCCACTACTGGAACCAGTTTCGTACATGCACCATTATTTTAACATTTCTTCTCGGGTTATAGGGCCTGTGTATTTGGAAACTTTAGAAACAACGGTTGTTATAAGCCAAGTTTGTTCCACCGCCAATCAATAACCATTGCAGTTACTACTTTAAAAGTCAGGAAGTTGCAATCTTGAGACGGTCTCTAAGCTGGTATCGTGAGTTTTTTAGTATCCTAAATGATTGAAAAACAATTTCTGTACCTATTAGCCCTCACCTCTCCCTGCCTCGAAACTTGCACTAGTTTTACGCGATAATAAGAAACACATTTGTAGAGCTAATAAGAGCGAGTCACTTTGAGCTGAACTCAATTGCTAATTGCAAGCAGTAGATCCACATAGTGCAAAATAAATGAATAAATTAAAAAAACGAAATCTACAGTGATTGTTTAGCTATTCTTCAAAAAGTTTCATCCAAAACGACTAGGCAAAGCCGATAGCTACTAAGAATGTAAGACCTAAATCGAGATTTATAAATCGTTCGCCTTGGAAAATATACGACAATATCAGGTGCCTACAGTAAATTCTTTTGATGAGTTTATTCGGATAGCAGTTATACCCTTAAATCGGTAAAAATTACTCCTTACTCCAACAGAGCCTCGCGGGACTTACACATAAATCAAAAGAAATACATTTATTTCCATTATCGAAGCGTCACTGTGAGAGAAAATGAGGAAGATCACTCAATTAAAAAGAAAGTGTAGTAAATGCAAAGTTTATGTTAACAAAAGAAGATTCGACTTTGCGTTCAAATAATTTATGGGAAAGGATCGATAGGCTCCTAACGACGCGTTCTTTTATTGTTCAACACAATGAAGATTTTTGGTGGATCGAAGAAGATCTAGAAACAGATCAATGTCTGTTAGCTGTATGCAATAGTCGGACTGAAGGTGATAGCGTACT